CTAAGCACAGTACTTTAATTGTAGACAAAGAAAAGAATGGTGATTTTTGTGGGAAAGAACATTTTAACCCAAGTTCTTAAATACACTTGTCTTTTTCAGTGTTGTGAAGAACACTTCCTAGTTAATGTTACTGTAAAAATTCTTTTTTTTTTTCCTTGTGTACAAAGCTCCATTTCAGTCAAGTTTGTTTTATACTTCAGTATCCCAGAAAAGGAATGCTACTGTCTGAAATGTAGCATCTTAAGTGTAGGTTAACTGATCCTTCGATCCAACTAAGAAACTTTCTGCCACTGTAAAGTGCAGTGACTTCTGAAGTTACTCACAGCACTAGACATGATAATTGTGTTCTGCATTTCCATAGATTACTGAAAACAAGTGATCAATCTACAGAGGATGCCATATATCTCACAGGCCTGTTCTGTCTCTGCTCTATGGTTATGCACCTAATTCAAAGGGCACTAACACATCCCTTGTTCTGTCTGGGATGAAATGGTCTGTTCTCTGTAGCAACATGACTTCTACAAGAAGAGGATTAGTATTCCTTTAGTGCTGTTTTTTTGGGGGAAGTGTTACGTGAAGAGCAGGAATATATCCAAGTTGTACCGTGTCTTTAATACACCTCATAACTTCTTCAATCTGCCCACTTGTGGGGAAATGAGCAGAAATGTTCTGACGTGCACTTTAGCTGCTAGACTTCAGCCACTGGAAGGGATTTTTACATTACTCTCTGGTTGATTTGAATGTAGACATTTTTATAACATAGCAGTGATTTTAGCAGGGTGAGCCTTTGTGTAGAAGCAAGGACAGGAATGAGTTTATTGCATGTAAGCACAGCCTGGCAACTGAAGCGAGAGCTGTGCTACTGAAGGCAACAGCATTTAGAAAATGGCTGAGCTGAAAGACTAGAAAGAGTGGTTCTTCCTTCCGTTACCTGGTATGGCAGAATGAGGAACATCTTTTGAATGGGTAGAACGTTTCACAGTGAAATTTCATGGCAAATTCAGCGGTGCAGATCAGTTACACAAATAGAATAGTGTGGCAGTAATCTGTGGAAATTCAGACTGAGATTGGAAAAACATTTTATGCCTAACTTTATGCCTATCTTCCTGCTAATTTTACCTACGCAAGAAGCCAGAGGAATGAAGTAAGTTTCTTGTTCAGTGCAAAAGAAGACAGAAATAGTTTCAAATCAAATGACATTAATGATCTAAAAATATTCATCAGATGGAAATATCCATAAAGATTCTTTTTGTGGATGTTCACAATTATCCAACCCTGCACAAAACAAGAGCATCTCATTATGTATTATTTTAGCAAGCTGTGTTTATAGAACAATTTAGCACAATGGTAATTGTCTATTTTAAGATTAACTCATTGCCATATGTGGTTTCACAAATAAAGATTAAATGTAACATATAGAAGGCAACTAGCTGTCTCTGAAATGTTGCTAGTGATGTTCTCATCTATAGATAATGAAATAATAGATTAGGTACAGTTTGTTCTGAGCACCTGCAATAATTATTTCCATCTGGTCTTCCAAGTTTTTATTGAGAGGTTAAAGTAGCAATGAATGTAATCTGAAGAAGCCTAAAAGCATTTTTAACAAGGTAGTTAGGCTTTTTTTTTTTTTTTTTTTTCCTGATTTAACTATCCTTCAGCTGAACAGATTCTTGTTTTTTTCTTCACTGGTAAGAAGAAAAAAAATATTTTCTTCTTTAAATTAAAGAAGAAAAAACTTTAAACTTTAAATAGGAAACAGAAGATGTGTGAACTACAATCTCCACTATACTAGCACATAACCCTTTGTGCCAGTTTTTGTTGTGTCTTGAGCACTAATGATTTGCTCTAACCTATTTTTAGCAATGTATTTTAAGCATCTAAAATATTTTGAGAGAGGTGACAGAAGCAAAACTGTCCATGTTTTTACTGGTAGCTAACACAACTTAATACCTTATTTTACCTCAATTTTCCATTTCTAGGTCTCCAGGCTTGCCTCTTCTGATTAGTAATGTTATGCCTCGTCTTTACTCCTCTCCAAAGCAAGGTCATGAGGCCTGGTCCTTTGCTTTTGAATACCAGGCAACAAACTCCTGCCTGCAACTTGCATGGCAGGAGAATGGCATGACTTCTGCCTAGGGATGAGTTTGCTGTGGTTCCTGAAGCTGCTTTTGGATAGGATCTCGAAAGCTGAGGTCATCTGTGCACTACCTGGAGATGGGAGATATAATGGGGCTTTTAGTAATGAGTGCTTGTGCCATTCTCTGTGGTAGGACTTCTTCCTGTTGTGTTCTCTGAAACTGACAGAAGATGCTGTTCCTGACAGAGAGCTGTGTTGAGAGAGATGTACTTTGTGCCGTGTTTTATGAAGAAGTGTCTGTGTAAACTGATCTATCTCTCTGAAGTGACATGGCTCATCCCACCTGTTGGACCCAGCCAGGGCCATTTTAGCCTGCTGGGGACATGGACACCATGATATAATTGTACTCTCGCAGGACATGGATGGTGAGCACAGCAGATCAGGAGGTATGGTCAGTCTCAGGGGGAGCACTTGCTAAGAAAAAGTAATGTGTAACTCACATGAGAACGTAGGTTTACAAAATGTATTGATATGCCTTAATTAGATAGTTTTTTATTATTTGTTTTTATGTATTCTGATTTATTTTTTACTTGTCTGGAGCACTGGTCTGCCCTGGGAGTTATGAAATAGGTGTGTTTCAACTGTTTCGAGTAGAACAGTTCTAGAGAAGTTTCAGCAGATCTGCAAATTGAAAGTGTAAATCCCTACAAAGATGTCTTTGTGGTCACTCGATTTCGACTCTGGATCTGTGACATGAGCCGCTCCTCAAGCAGCAGTTTGTGGTGGGAGCTCCAGCAGGCAGGGTGTGCTGGGCACCATGGCGGCGGCGGCTCTGTGAGGAGCTGGATGTGGGTGGCTCCGGCCAGCTCCACTGCAGGACACAGCCCCTCATCCCCGCTGGTGGTGCCTCACAGAAAGCACATTTAAGAAAGGGTGAAATGTTTAAAATGCCACATGGCACTGAGGTATGAGGGAAAAAAAATAATAATAAGGGGGAATATGAGCAGAAATTCCCCTGCGGCCTGTGGAGGGGGAGCATGGGGAAGCAGGTGTTTGGCTGCAGACCCTGGAGAGGGCTGTGGTGGGGCAGGCCGCCATTTTGTGGAGGAAACTGAGGCCCGTGGAGGGCCCGCGCCACAGCAGGCTGTCCTGGCAGGATCTGTGGCCTGGGTGGGATGTTCACTGAAGCAGTTTTGTCCTGAAGGAGCGCTGCCTGGCAGAAGACCCACGTTGGAGCAGGGGACTATTATGGCCTGGCCACAGCTGTCCCCCCTGTGCTCCCGGAGAGGGGGCAGAGGAGTCGGGAATGAAGGAGTGAATTTCAGCCTGGACAGAGGGCATGGGGAGGTGGGGGAGAGGTCTTGTGTTAATTTTGTCTTTGTTTCTCATCATCTGGCTCTATTTTTAATTGGCAATAAATTAATTTAATTTCCTCCAGGTCAATCTGTTTCTCCCAGTTACAGATAAGTGATCTCACTCTCCTCATCTTGACCCGGAGCTTTTTCATCTTGTTCACTCCCCCTGTCGTGCTGAGGAGGAGGAGTGTGAGAGCAGCCTGATGGCTGTTTGGCAGCTGGCCGAGGTCAGCCTGCCACATACATTCAGACTGAAATTTTGGTATATGTAAGGCTGGCATTCTTTACTTAAACCTGAGGTTGTTTTAGCATTTTTTTTGTCTTTTAATATTTAACAATACTTCAGTTAAAGTCATCTCCACCAAAACACTCAAACTTCACAGTTTAACTTGTGAATTGTACTCAATGCAGGGTATCTGAACAGTAAATAAGGAAGGACAGTCCAGTGGTTCTAGAAATAGACAGACATTTACAAGAAATAAAACATGGGCAAGTATAATACCATAAATTACTTAAGAAGAGCTTAGAAATAGCAGGGACAGGAAATAATAGTAAAGAATCAAGCTTCTGGTGAAAGAAAAAAACATACAGTTAGAAAGTGAGAAACTTAAACTATGAGGAGCTAATGTGAAAAGTATTCAAATATCCCTGAATCTTGTAATTGCTGATTTTTGCTTTCATAGTTGATGTCTGAGTTTCCAGAACTTCACTGACAGAATAGATGCTGCAGACTACTAGAAAGAGCTTGTACCCTAGTTCTTCAATTTTGTATTTTTTTGGACATGACAAAACATATCCATACAAATGAGTGAGATAAAGATGTTCCAGCACATCCCCTATAGAGAAACTAGAGAAGTAACACCAATGAGTCATTCCAACTAACTTGTCATAAATTGTTACTTAGGGGTTGAGAAGAAAGAAGTTCATTGGAAAAATAATAGTATAAAGTAAAAACATTGACAAATCATTAGGTCATGTCATCCTGTGAAGGAAAACTGGAAGCTGATTTGTCTTCATATCTTAAGCATTTGACGGATAATCATTCTGTAATTCTGTGGTGCTGAAGACAACCAGGAGTGTCGTTGTATCTTGATTCCTTTTCACTTTTATTTCTATGGATCTCTGCTAAGGAAACTACTTTAAGTCATACTCATGCAGGAAGCACTTAAGTCCAGTTGTCACCCTGATATTGTACACTGGGTTATACAGAGATGGACTTAAACCTCCACTGGAGTGTTTTGAACTCAGAAAAAGTCTCAAAACGCTCTTAAAATTTGGTGTGAGGATTTCTGGCAGCAGTGTGGTTTTTGATCCAAATCTTGGATCAAAGTCTTAACTTGATTTTTTTTGGAATGTTTAAAATTTTAAGTCTGTCTCCGTCAGAACTTTATTTTTTTTCTCCTGCTCAATCCAGATGGTGTTAAAATAATTTTGTGTCTTATTATCTAAACATAATAATTACTTGGCATATAATTTATAAATATTGTCTTACATGTATAGTTTTGTGTCTACATCAGACAGAAAGGTATCTAAAAATAAGCATAAATTGTTTGTCTCTCTTTCTACAGATGGCATCGGGCATTTATAATGTGAATGTTGCTCATCATTGCTTGCTGAATGTATGCTGGAGAGAGGAACAACTTAGATCTGACTCTTAACCGCAGGCCTCTTAATTTGTAAGTCCAAATCTGCTCCATTTCACATGGTTTATTTTGTTTGCAGAAGTGTGCAATTATTGTTTAAAATAATTTCTCAATATATTGAGAAATTAATGATAAAATAATTAAGAAATTAAGATATTGAGAGGTTGTAGAGAGATGCAGGAGAGTAAGATTTGAATATAAAATAATTTTTGCTAATTGGATTAGTAATTTTAAAAATAATATTAATGGCGGTAACAGTATGTGCAAGATACTCTGAATGGGAAAACTACAGCACAAACAACGATGGGGAAAACAAATGGATTAGCAACGGTTCTTCAGGAAAGGATTTTGGTGTTACAGTGGTTTGTAAATTGAATGTGACTCTATAGCTTTAAGTGATTGCAAGGAGGGCAGGAGCCATGCTGGGTTGTATTTTAAAATTACTATAGCTTCAATGATGTGTAAAATAATGTCCTGCTTTGCACAGCATTAATAAGGCCACATTTATGTCTAGCATATGTCTTGTGTATTTCAAACAAAATACGAACCATCTGAAGAGCGAAAGAACAAAAAGCAAAAGGTTAGAAATCTAGGCAATAAGACATCTCAAAGTTTAGTGACTTGGGATTGTTTAGCGGAAGTGTGTAACTTGTTCTCCATGTGTACAAGTGGCAGAACATACACAAGCTTCAGTCGCAGCAACATAGATGCTGATAAATGTTAACAACTATTTCATAGTAAGGCAGCAAAGCAAATTTTTGATTCTTTGTTCTCAGATATTTTAAAGTCAGTGGAGATAAATACCTGTTAGGAAGGGCTTGGATATGACTTGTTTGCCTTGCAATGGGAATGAAGACATAAATGACTTCTAAAGACCCATTTCAGCCATATTTTCTATGACTAGAATTCTGTGGGACCTCCACTGAAATTTAGCAGTTAAGTCAGTAACTCTTGAAAAGAAAAAGATCCATCATGTTCTGCTATTTTCACCACCTTTGCCAACTTAAGTATGAAACTCTGCAGTCGTAATTTCTTCCAGTTTACTGGGTGACAGTCCTTTATCACCTCTAACTTCTCAGTGACATGAAACTGCAACAATACTGTGTCTAATATTGCTAAAGTGACTGGAAAGATTTTTTTTTTTCTCAAACAAAACCAAACTGATTTAAAAGATGGCAAACAAGTGTAAGCGTTTAGCAATTCTGCCTCTTATTGTTAATCAGATATTCAAAGATAACAATATTGATATCAAAACAAAAATTACATTTCGCATCCAACTTCTTGCTCTTGAGAGCATGCTTAATATAGAGTTAACTTAAACTAATTGAAAATAATCAAGTATTTGCATAATTGTATTCAGTCTGATACAGTCTGTTGAAATCTCTTGAAACACAAGAATGCAATGCTTTGTGAACCTGCTATTCCCAATTTTACCAATTTCATCTACAGTAAATCTCATTAATACTCTACCAGTAAGCACTAGAAATATTGTTTGATGTACTTTCAGATTAATTATGCTTGTGGCAATCTTTTCTTTCTACGAGAAGGTAATTCAAACAATAACAATTCTTTCAAAATTGACTTCAAACGTCATTATGATGGAATACAATTTGGGGAATAATGTGAATATAAGCTTCAGTAGCCAGAAGCTTTTTTTTTTTTTTTTTTTTTTTAATGAGGTATGCTCTAACCGTAGCTTCTACTACTGGCACAATAAAGTAATACGGAAATAATGAATATCATTAAATTTAGTATTGGCATAATTCATCTGAAGATGAAGCTAAGTTTAAATAGTTGCTGTATTTTATTTATGCAGATGACTCAAAAATATATTTTTGCCAAATTGTGCTTTATTAAAGTTCAGTATCTAGTCTTACTGTTGTAGAGGGTGTGATCTCTATGCTTATCATATGTACGGAAGAGTTATATTTTGGGAAGGAGAAAGCGTATTTTTCTACTGATAGATGCTAACTTAGCAATGTGCCAGGAGTATGAAAAAGGAAGCATTGGTAACTCTACCAAGAGATGTAATTTTCAGAAGCATCTTGTCTGTAATAATTTTTTTCCTATTATGCCCTCCTACGGAAATCTACAACCTGCTTCTTTTCTGTATGTAGTGTAACTTTGTTTGTCCTGCTGTCTGAGGGATTTTTGTGGTCAGGGAGACAGAAGGAAGTTTGCTTCACTGTGAATGTCTATTTCACTAGTTTTCATTGGTAAATTGTACCCACAGATGGTGTGAGGTATAGTTTTCTAAGCAGGACTTGTTTGGGATGGGCTAAACTACATCACGGGTATATTATCCTGAGCTCCTCTCTGGCATTGGAAGCTCTCTCTTGGAAGATGGAGGTGTCAGTGTCCTGCATGGAGGAACACACTATAATATACACATAGCAAATATACCTAAGAAGGGTTGTTTTCTGAGGCCCCTACAGAGCTTTGTTCTGTAGTTTAATAGGCATTTTGTTCTAACAGACTCTCTTTTTCACACTGCTTCAGCTTTACAGATGAAGCAAGGAAATAAGGATGGCAAACATTCTTGTTTCTTTTTTTTCCCTCAAAATGGTCAATGCAATAGGGAATATCAAGACATGAAGCTATTAAAGTCAGGATATCCTATACTAAGATCACCGTTGTAATGTTACTAGAAACATCTTGAATGGGTAGCATGAGAGCTGTAGAAATACAGAAGCCACTTAAAAATAGTCCTTATTTGAGCTTTTCTAAGCATGTTAAACAGGACAGGCAAAGAAAATATGCTGGACAAATCTGGACCAAATACTTAACCAGTATGAACTTCTGGTTGCTTTTCCTCTTCATCTTGGGACTGTATGGCCATTATGCTCCACTGGAAAATACTTCAATACCTGTTAGAAAGTAGTTGGGTGAAAGTGCCCTGACCTCCTGATATGCCTGGAAAAAAAAATGTGGAGGAGGGAGTAAAAAAGGCTACATGTAGCCAGGTTTCATATCACAATTGGAAAGAGTATCTTAATATCTTTCTCCCTTTTCAAGGCTCTTTTTTCTGATTGCATCCTGCTGTGTTATCACTGAGATGTTACCAGTTACTGCCTGCCATATATTTTAGAAATGTCTTTAATTTTGAGTGTCTAAACTTGTGACTTCATCTATTACCATTAGTTTACAACTTGTATTTTATTTTGAGATTTTTATTGATACTGTATATCAATATTGTAACAACCCAGGCTCAGTTATTAGCTAGATAAATCTGTTGACAATTCAAGTCATTTCTCCTGTATTTGAATTTTACTGTCATTCGGATAGAACTATGGTGTGACTATGGGACTTGTAAAAGAATAAATGTGCTGTTAGTAGGCACAGTCCAAGAACGTTATTTGCTGGAAGTAGAGCTTATGAAAGAAAAGCCATCTTGTGTTCAGGGAGAGGCTTCTGAGCTGTAGAAAAACTGGAGAATTTTTCTCTTGTATGTCTTGATTTCAGAGGGACTACAAATGAGATACAGAATGTGTTTTAAGTATCGAGCCAAATAATGGATTTGTTCTCATTTCCTCTTCTGAAACCTGCCCAAAAACCCTGGAAAGGGATAAATAGATGAAGAACAATGGCTGTATCATATCATGTAATATATATTTTAAATAGCTTGTTAACAGAGACCACAGAGCCATTTACATCCAGAATAATTTTTAATATTAGCACTATGTTTATGGCAGACACCCTGATCTCCAGTTCTGTATGAACATTGTTCTTACATTTCTCATCTGTGTAGCTGCGCTGGAGTGTGATTCTTTAGGAACAGTTCCCTTGATTTCTTGTTTTGCTGCCCTGGTTTATGACTACTTCTGTCTGAATTTCTTCTGCAGTTGTTTGAGAGAGGAGGCAGAATAAAGCCAACGTAACTGTGACTACCCTGTTCTGTCCACAGCAGTTCTGGTTTGAGAGCCCCCGTGGCTACCAGTGCCACTGTCTACATGTAGCAGTTGCTTCTTGCACCTGCTCTGCTTTGGCAGGAATCTGCCAAAATCTTTTTGCTTGGGTGCTGCATGTCTCTTGGGAACAGGGTATGCCTAATTCTGTCAGGTAAAAGACTTCTTGCTAATAATGGGAACACATCTCAGAGCTGACAGTGTTACCTCTCATCACATCAGAAATCACTAATTAAGCTGCACTGTGTCAGATCTGCAGTGGCTGTTAAGTGGATTCTGTAACTCTATTTATCAGTGTTTCTATGACAGCTCAGGCAACTTCAGTAACATCTCTAAAACATCTCATGTTTTTCATCTCCAAGGTATTTCATACTTTCTGCAAAAAACATGAAATTATTATCCAAGTTTTCTTACTGAGATTATAACCAATTTACCAACATCAGTAAATATCTTTTCTGTTTTTGGAACAAGTATGATTAGAATTAATAAATGATTTAATAATTTACTCTAAAACCCAATTTAACTGCTTTTTGAAAAATAAAACTAACATCTTAACAGATAAAGATGGTATTCTTTTACTAAAGCTGAGTTAGTTGAGTGATATTTTCTGATGTGAGCCTTTGAATCTCTGAATTTTATAAAAATACCCATGAGATGACATAACAAATTGAACAAATGGAATTTAGGTTGACAATTTGAATTGCTGACTGCTATATTTAGCAGAGCTTTCAAGCTTGCAGTGGCTTCCCGAAAGGTCAGCCACTTTTCACAGACTTTTTAGTTATAAAACTAGCTGCCATTTTTAATAGTCAAGACATTTTATAAAAGTAAAGATATGCTAAAATAGAGATGATCTAAATATAGCAATTTGCTGCATATAAAATGCATAGCAGGAACTTGGAATGAATATAGTGTGCTCACAGCTCTCTTGCCCTGTACTGTCTTATTTTTACCTGTACATGACTGCCAGTGTTGCCGTTTCCAGCAGAAGCAGGTAACTGTTGTAGGGCTCTTAATATATATTGCGTACATAGTCTTTTTATTTTTTTCTTTTTAAACACTTACATCATCTTTAGTGCAGGTCTAGAAGTAAGGAGAGAGGATCCTTTTTGCCAAAACATCTTTTTGATTGAAACCAAACTAAACCAAACACTGGAAGTTTCAGCAGTCCAATGAAGTCAAGAGCTTAATACTAAAATTCTTTCAGTTTTCAGTTGTATATCTCATCAATTCTGATGCTTGAGATAACACCAATAGGCAGGTTTTACATCAGACATAAATAATTGGGACTCGAAGGAAAAATTGCATTAAAAGGAACTCTTGCATAGGTTTGTAGCTCGGTTATTTATTTCTGTTTTTGAGGAAAGTTTGTAGCACATGCAGTACAGTATTGGTAAACTGATAATGCAGTCTAGTCAAAGCTTAGAGACCATGAAGTTTTTGCTGTAGAACTTGCATGTAAGCTGTCTGCTGCCCTCGTGTTTTGGATCTGAGAAAAAGAAAGTCCTTTTCTGCTGTTCTTGGGTAAACCCATTGATCCTGTAACTATACTTCCAGAAGTAATTTCTGATCAATCCATGTTGTGCAGCTTCTCTGTGTTTTCATTTTATTCAGGAAACATTTGATTTTTGTCTGCCTAAAATTCTGATAATAATCATTCTGTCAACCTCTATTATGATCTTTAGAGTTTCCATAGAGAGGTCATAAATAAAGTATTCAGGACTAAAACACTCAGTTTGGGATTGGAGGAATGCATACAAGCTAGCTTCTGTTGTAACTACCATGGAATAAGGGTAGAAGAAGAGTAGGCAAAATCTAAAATCAGGCTGGAGGGATTATTGCCATGAGCAAAAGAGAGTGCTGCTGGCTTTCCTCATGTAACATATATATTGCTTCATCCTGACCAAAGCTGATACTGTCCTCTTCCAGCTGACTTCACAACCTGTCTTCAAAATACTTTGATATGGAGATTCAACTCCTACCGCAGTAAATATTTATCCAAACTGTGGCTATTCCAGTGAAAGATTAGAGAAATCACACTAAAAGAGCTAAGTACGATGTGAGGGCCTGTCTCTAGATCTGAAGAAGTGAGGATATTTAACTTGCATTTCAGCCGAATACTGTAGCTCCTGGGCTCTTGATCAAAGTCTTGCCTCCCCCTGGTTCTGAACAGAAATGTCACTGCAGATCTGAGGAAAGCATCAGACAAATTCATTTTGCCAAAATACCTTTATTTTCAATAAAAAACATGAATTGCAGCAGTGTGCAAGGAGTTGTTTTCAGTTATCCAGTTGAAGCATATTTTCTGCAAAATAAAAGCATTAAGCAGCAGCTATGATGAGCAAAAGAGGGCACGTGTCTTTTCAACTAGTTCACGAATGTAGCCAGGTTACCCTGCTGGCTCGTGGCAGCAGCAGCTATCAATTGCTTTGCAGGTATTTCACACATTCTTCACAGAAATTAGCAAACAGGACTATTCCAATTAATAAATAAATAATATGAAAATAAAAATCTTGCTCCAAAAGCAGACCTCACCGAGCACAGCTGATGGTGGGGTGATGGAAAAGGGGCTATTCATGATTAGCTATTCGAAAGTGCTTGTTCTCCAGTTGTAACACCAGCAGGATGCTTGATGTGCGAGGGAAAGTTCAAGCACAATAATTTAGGGAAGATTCTTTAGTGTAGTATTGTCTTTTCTGGATTTGGACCAGTAAAAAAATTTACTACATAATAGGCTGTAAAACTAGTAGGGAATTCTCATTTTCCACATTTATTCAGAACACATTTTTAATCCAGTGCAGTTATCAACTTCAGATCTTACTACAAGAAGTAGGAAATGATTGATGGTGCAAGAAAACACGAAGACTTTCTTTCCAGAAGATATGTTGTTACACATGTTGGCATGTGTTCTGACACTGAGTGATGAGTTGAAAACATTGTTGGGCGTAAAGAAGCAAGGCAGAGTAAAGAGGAAGCCTTTCCATTTGCATAATATAGTACTCTAACAGCTAACACTGAGGAGGCCTGTCTTCTCCTGACTGAAAACTGTCATGACAAGACTAAGTGGAAGTTTAATTATCAAACTTAATTCTAAAACCACAGCTTGTTTTGTTTCTTTTAGCTCACAAGATTTAAGGAGTCTTATTTAGGCCTGGATCCAAGGTGGACTGTTAAAAATAAGCAGCAAACAGAAAGCACATTTTAAATCTAATGTTCTGTGGCACATTATATCTTCCTTACTGTCTCGCTAATATCAAGCAGTGCATCAGTGAACACTGGCACTGTTTGGAAGCTGTTCCTGCTTCCACTGGCGCTAAAGACAAATTTTTTTCTTAATGGAAATGAATCTTGATCTTCTCATCGAGTATTTTATTTTCATATTAAGATTGCAGCTTTTTCTGTTCATTCTTCTCTAGCTATCAATTTCACTCTTGGCTCTGAAATTGCATGAGCTACAGGAACCATATGTTTGAGATTGTATTTTAGGAAAACCTTTCTGATTTGTCAAAATGCCTTTGAACTATGTTTCTGGCATATTCCTCAGTAAATATTTGAAATGAGCTCCTTGTATGCCAATGAATTGAAGGATTTCATCTTATTGTGGAATATGGGAATTATTTAAAATAATTTATGATAAAGCAACATAGTTAGAGGTTTAATAAGATCTAATTTAATTCTTTAAAAGTAAGCAACAGGACTGGTGCAGTAAAATGCTTTTAATTCAAAATGTAGCTAGGGGTATATCAGCCAGCCTGTGTACCCTTACTTTAAAAATGGATCAGCTCAAATATTGACAGCAGCTCAGTTCTGTAAGCTTGTCTGCTTAGCTTGGTACGACAGTGGTGGGTTTTTGTTTGTTCATTTTTCTCATTCTTCTCCCAAATTTTAGCAGCCTGAGAATTTCCATAATGTATAGCCTTGCAGAGTACACATATAAAAACAGGATTTTGGGGGGGGAGTACCCAACCCACAAGAAGGGAAGTTTCTGCAGTAATCCAGAACTATTTGAAGTACATATGGTGTGATGTGTGATTTAAATAAGAAAGAATTGTTTTTGCATCTTCATTCCTTTAAGAAATGCTTTGTTTTCAAGAAGCAAAAATATCTCTTTTCTAAAACAGGTGTACAGAAATATCTGGTCAGGAAATAGCATATGTAAATTACGAAAACAGTTGGAGCTGTAGGAATTGTATCTATCGAAAACATACCATTGTGCGGGAGCTATCCCTATCACCTGAGAGATGTCCCGCAGAAGTAGCACGAGACTTGCAGCATGCTCAGTAACTAGGACAGTGATTTAAATACAAAGATTTATACTACAAAATTGTCTGTATATTGTCAGAAAAGCCTCCAACAATTTGAGATGTCTTAGTTTGTGGCAGTAATCCAGGCAACAAGTCTTCAGGTTCATGAAAGAACCACAAATTTTCATTAGGAAGTACTTAAGGAGTTGCCTGTCATCTTGCACTAACTAAACACTCCATGTTTCCTCAAATGCTTGTTTCTTTTAATTACAGCTGGATGGACTGCATCCTGCATCAAAAGGCTAAGCTGTTCCTGAGGCAACAAGGTAGGCTGAGAAATCAATAGTTAGGAAAATGTTTTGGGAGAGAGCTAGAAAACTGATGGAAGAATGTAGGACCGTAATTCATTTGCATAAGATGTACTCATAACAGCAGTGTTGATGATAGTATTTTCCTGCAGTCCCATTGTTTGAATCAGACAAAATCAAAGGTATCATTTCGAATCCATGCAAAACCAGACTTACTAAGCAGGAATTGACTTATTTATTTATTTATCTTTTCCCAGAGACAAGCATAATAACATTCTAAACATTAAAATAGTTTTCCTTTCTCAATTTTAGAATTGGAAGGTTGGCATACTTTCAAAGGCTAGACTTGCCATAATTATTTGTCTGGCTTGCCAACACATAAATTGCCTGTACTGTGGCCTGTTTCTTAATGTGTTTCTGCACAGGCTTGAATTCTGGAAAACACTGGGGTTTTGAAATACCGGAGAAAGATCCAAGACTCTCACAGAATTCTCTGAACTAATTATTTCCGCTTATGTTCCTTGCTGCCTTCTGCTAAAATAAAACAAACTGCTACTAGTAATTTCTACCTGTCCCAAGCCAGGCTCTTGCTACAGTGCAAGGCTGAGGGCATTAGTTCAGCAGTGCATTTGGATAGAGCTCAGTCCCTCCCTCCTGCCTGTCTGTTCTTTCCAGCCAGTCACAGCTACTAGAAACCTCGAACTCCTCACTGAGAAGAGGCAGTGGAATTCAAAGCAATCAGCTAGGTAGCGTCCAAAACCACATTCCTGATTTAAGTATTGCTTACAAGTATATATATCCCTTTCCTGCCTCCAAGCAGAGTTTTTGCCAGTAATTATTGTTTTACAGTAGAAAGCAAACAGTATCTTCCTTCCTCTTCAAACTGTAAAGTACTACCACTTACTCTGAAGACAGTAAGTTCTTTTTGGTCCAGTATTTCTTTTACAGGTTATTTTGCTTAGAAAGCTGTAGGCTGAATTCAGATTATAAGGGAAGGCAAAAGTGTGCAAACGTATGTTTTAGAAGTATCTAGGAATAAACAGCTTGTCTAGCAAAGCAAATGTGTGTTTTTCACATTTACAGTTTCAGGAAAAATAAATTACAAATTTATTTCCTGAAAAGAACATGACAAAGAAAAAGGCTTTGTAAAAAAAAAAAAGTAGCAACTAGTAAGAGATACCCGTTCTTAAAAACAGTCTACAAACATACCTATTGCTTGTTTTTGTGAAAGCTAAGAACAAGTGGTTCAGACGCAGGTAGCTCAGGCAGTTGAAATAATTGCCTGATTTTTTAAGTGCACATATAATCTTCAATAAATTCCCAAAGCCTTTCAGATTTTCCCAACACAGGGAAAAAACACTGTTCCAAATTAGAGCTTCTAAGAAAATGGTATGCTGCCAGGACTTCACACAGGAAAATAACTAGTCCCGGAACTGAAACAGATCTTTTTTTAAACAGGCCTAAAAATCCGAACAAACTGTGCTCATTCACTTTGTGAAGAACCACCCTCATGACCTAAGCAGGCTCTGCTAGCCATATGCTGATAGATATTATGCAAGTGCTGTATGTGCTCTCATTTGATGGCTTGAATGCCTTCAGCTGTGTTTAAGATTTATCTGACGCTCAAAATAGAGAGCAAATTTGTCTTCTGCTGGCAGAAGTGCTGCAGTTGCTTTTGAAACAACATTAATCCTGAGGAGAGACTACCCAACTGAGAGCATTTATAAAGCTATCTTTCAAAGATATGCCTTTAGTTATGAGAGAGGTTGAAGACTGAGACCTACAGAATCTTATGAGTATGCAAAACCTTCAGACAAGAGCAGGTGAGATGACACATAAGAGTTTGAGTGTTGAAAGAGAAAGACATATTCCCTGATAAGAGTTAAATTTTCTAGCCAGAATAGAAAGAAGAGTAGCTGTTCAACTGAAAATGAAGCAAGTCTGTTTTTTTCATTCACTGTATATGCTTCCCATATATTAAATGTTCAGAATTCTGCATTTCAAAGGCAGAATATGAATCATGCTGAACTACTGTTCTACAGCTTTTCTAAATGCCGTAGATGTTAAACACAATGAGTGGAAGGGAGGGGAGGTGCTCAGTCCAGAAGGGTGTAAGACAAACCTCATACTCGTATGGCAAGCAGAATCCTCACCAAGTGAGGTGCTTTGCAGCAGGAAAACTTAACTAAGGTTGAGCTGTATAATGAATCTGTAAATGGTGTCTAGATTAAATAGTTTAAAATGAACTCGCACATCTCATTATACTTAGGTAACTCATCCTGTATGTAGTATAGCAATATTTGTAGAAGCTGTCTGATGGCATTCATTAAGAAATGTAGATTTTAGTAAGTATTCGAAAATACTCTTCTTGTTTTTGTTTTTTTCAGCTCCTGTACTTCCAGTTCCTAAAGTTAGCTTTTCACCTTTAGGCCATAAGATGTTTTTTTGCCATCTTGATCCTGTAATCAGTCATTTTTAATTATCATTGACTGGAAAGAAAAGAATGAAAACACAGTTTAAAATCCTTAACAGATTATTCAAAGATGAAGCGCACTTCAACACACTTGAATGAAATTGGATTTGAAGAACATTGGCACATTTTCCCAGAAGTTTTTGAGGCACATTTGAATTTTGAGAGATGCCTAATATTAAGAGAAAGAGAGTTCAGAAGCATATGAAAATAATCTCCCTGTATGCAATATGAAAATCATTAGTAATATTGAACTTTATTAGTCTAACTCAATAGAATCAAATTTTAAGCAGTCTTCTTCTCCAGGCTGTCCCCAAAACGCTTTATATTTTTTGTCTGTTTCCTAGGTGATACTCCCTCCTAATCTTGCCTACAAAGCTATGACCTATGATATGAATTTGGAGTCTTGTAACTGTTTACTGTCATTCCTCATGCAGACACTATTAAGAATGCTATTTATGGTTTAGTTTTGATTATCTAGCATGTAAAAAGTCTCAGCTAAACTGCAGAAAACTACTTTTCTCACAGGGAGTTACACCAATGTAAATGATAGAGCTTCTCATTTAGAAGTGAGCTTGTATAGAAGAAGCTTTGATGAAATTTGCAAAGCATATAAACTACTAATAATCAACAAATAATTATCAACATCCTCCCCTTTGTGTAAAGTGGGAGACATTTCCTTTAACACTGCTGTGGCAGCTTCCTGTTTCAGTGGAGTAGTTAAAGGAAAAATCTAGATAGTTAATTATCTTAATACTGCCTGGCTATGCAAGAAAACTCTCTCTTATAATATAAACATGTTTGAATTTGAGAATATCAGTACTTATTTTAAATGCAATTTTAAGGTCTGTTTTTATATGTCTTTTTTCAGTTTTTGGTTATTTTCAGTTAGTTCGCTTTCAAATTACAGTTGACAAGAAAGATTCAGCAAAGCTCAAATAAGCAGGAGGTGATTTTATATCTTGGTGCATTCAGGGCAAGTCAAAAAAAAAAAAAAAAAGGAACAGATGCGGTTACTTGCAAGCAAAAATAATAAAGTGTTAGGAAATTTTGTTCCCTCCAAATCTGATTTTGTAATCCTGCAGAGATTCAGCTGTATGCTGGCCTTGGCATACATATCATCCAACCGTCCATAGCCTAACGCTGAAATGAAATGTTTTAGGTTGACTTTTTTTTTCAAATAAATTGCAGTAGGTAGCTAATGGCAGCTATGAGCCCCCCATGGTCATGAAATAGTTCCCTGCAGTGGAACAGGGTATGCCTGAAATGCATTGCTCCTTGTGCTTTCCACTGGCATATTGACTCCTACGTGTTTGTTTAAAAATAGCATGTATTAGAATAGCTTCACAGAAATTGTGACTAGCATTATTAGTAACATCAGAAAAAGAAGGGTGAAGGTATAGAGTTGACACTTGCAGTATACTGTAAACCCTGCAAATAATCATAAGTTGCTGAAGGCCTAGTATTAAAGAAGAACAATAAAAAAGATGTAAGAATACGGTTACGTGTTGTAAAAAACAAAAAACAAACAAACAAAAAAACCTCCCAACTAACCACATATTCAGAGATGATATATGAATCCAAAATGAGTAAGAGTCATGCTCTGATCTCTGTTTACAACAGTGATGTTGAAGAACAGCACCAATGGGTCGTGAAGTGTAACCTGTCAGCGTTATCTCTGCCACTGAAGTCATCGGAGATTTCTACTTCCTAGGAAGCCTGAAGTCAGGTAGGAGATAACAAATAAGCATGATTTTTCCGCTGCTGCCTCTCCTTCATAACAAGTAACTTCATAAGTGCCAGAACGAGGAGCCGTTTTCCTTTCTGTGCATGCTTTCTGTCTGTTCATATGCTTTGTCTGAAGTTTTTTTCTCTGGTTGTGGCATAAGTTGTATTTCCTGGAAATACTACAGTTTAACAAAGCACATGTATACTGTGAAGCCTTTCTCTCAGTGGGATATGTAATGTGATTACATAAAGATCTCTCTCCTCTTCCCATCTGTTTAGTGTCACAAAACTTGCGGGAACACAATATTTTTGAGGCCATATCCCTCTGTCAAATTTTGTTAAAACTGAGTAATGTGTTCCAAAACTATTGGAAGAGATAAACAGCATGAAGTTATAATCCTCATTTCTTTAGGATTAAGGGAGGGAAAAAAAATGTAAAAGCAATGTTCCATATCTCTCAGAAAAAACAATTTAACATCATTATAAAATTTCATTGGTCAGTTTATGGTATCTGAATTACATTATCACTGGTTTTGTGTTACTGGGCTTTCATTTAGAAGGAATGAAAGAAGGAATAATGTAATATTTGCTACTTGGGCTTCATAAGCTTGTGTTGTTCAGATGCTGTGGGTAATGTACTGTACTGGTCTTTTCACATTATTGGAATCAGGGAAAAAAAAAAAGGAAACTTCAAACAAAGCATTGATTAATACTGAACACTAGTGTTACTATGCTGGTCTGTGATGGTTATCTGGAGATGCCACCATAAGCAGTGAATATTTTTAGAAATGATTCTACTTTGGAAATGGATTTTGTCAAATAGCACCATGTATTCATATCCTCACTGAGTGACTGAGACTGAAAACTGAACTTAAAAAATACTATTATATTCCTAAATAAGCAGCACAGCAACTTCATTTTGAATTTACAGTTAAGGTGGATTCTCTCATACTTATACGTTAACATAAATAAGATGAATTTTTTTTAGAACTGGAAGGAGAAGAAGGGCAATAAGCAAGGGAGGGAGGTTGCTTAGAGTTTGCTAGGTAAACGAGAGCCTGTATACACACTAGAATTGCCTCTAATTATAAGCCCGAGCGGGACCTGGGAACCTGGTTTACTAAAATGCTAGGTAAGCCAAGAATAAAACAACTAGTTTTTTAATCCATCAGCAGTTTGTAAGAATAACCTCCTCAGGGTTGTGTTTTGAAGGAGGGAAAAGGACACGCACTGGTTCACCTGATACGCAGTGTTATGCATTTGGTCATACATAGGGTAACAAGAGTTTCTGTTCCAAAGGCTCTTGGAAATATCTCCTGGAGTTGCATTTATTTTCAGATATGCGTCCATGATGTGGGACTGAACTGTTCTTCCCTGCTATGTCATTCATTCGTCTTACATTCAGGCTGATATTTACTGCTTGGGGCCCAGTTCTGCAAACATTTCTCATCTAATGTAGCACTCCTGGTTTCAGTGGAACGATGCACGTGATGGCTAGTGTTGCCAGAAATTTGTCCCTGGGGCAGGTGAACACTGCTTCTAATTAAGGTTGAAAACTGCTTATTGAAGAAAAAAACATTGCTTGGAGTTGGTTCCTCCCCCCCCAACTTTAAAATATTATACCTGACAATGCAGTCAGTGAGGGGAATCACTCAGAATAGATGCAAAATATGGATTTTCTCTACTAATTGTTTTTGAATGTCTCTAGTAATGATAGATTTTGTTTTGAAACTGAAATTTATAAGTATCTTGCCCATTAAGAAATTTTCACACCATGCAAATGAGTTAGCTGCTGGGAAAATGACTATATGATGACCTTGGACCAGCACAGTGCTCTTGTGGCCAAGGAGGCCAATGGCATTCTGGGGTGTATTAGAAGGGCTGTGGTTAGTAGGTCAAGAGAGGATCTCCTCCCCCTCTACTCAGCCCTGGTGAGCCTACATCTAGAATATTTCAAAACCCTCCTGGATGCATTCCTGTGAGACCTGATCTAGGTGTTCCTGCTCCAGCAGGGGATTGGACTAGATCATCTTTCAAGGTCCCTTCCAACCCCTAATATTCTGTGATTCTGTGAAGATAGCTTAAGAAATGCCATCCTTATTCCATTAAATACAGCTTCCAGCTTTCTTAGTGTTGGTTTAACTTGGTGTAGTTTTGCAATGCTTTGTCTCAGTATTACTAATTTCGTGGTGATATCTGTTTTCCATCAAAATACTACAGCTTCTTTCTTATTATTGCTTTGTAATTCAGCCTTTGGATAACTTTCCTTTTCTGTCCTTGTTCAAACTACCACGAAGTGGCTCACAAAACTAAATGAGGTGCTTGATAAAGTCACACATTAGATAGTTACTCACAGAGTTGTACACAGGTTTCTTTTTGACCATGAACTCTAAGTGATGCATAGCTGCTTTGCTGTGCTAATGGAATATCCAACTTTGCTTTACATTGCTGGAAATGATCCATTGCTCTCTTGCAGGGGTGGAAATGTTTTTCCAGATACAATTTTCCTATTTTTACTAAGGAAATAACAATTGCTTTTTAACAATGCAAATGAAGATCATCAGCGTAATGACAGTCCTCTCGGTATTTGACAAATTACATGTGTTTGATTTTTTACAATTATAATGAAAGCGTTAGTAGAGCTAATAACATAAAACAATAGTCCTCTCTGTGTTTCCATCCAAAAAAAAACACCAATCGAAAGCTCAAGTATTTAATAGATTTTCCTCGTGGATTTGACATTTCCTAAACATAATAATTAAGAAAGGGGAAAAAAAGAAAATGAAAGAAAAAATATGTCTTCCTTTGTATGCCTTTGCCTCTTTCATTGTGTGAGTCCTGTGAAAGATGGCTATAAATGGTCTTGGCAGTTCTTTTTGAAACTTGAATTTTGTGAACTACTGTGGCTCAGTATCAGCCATCAGATATATAAAAGTTCGGTTTTAGAAAAGACTTCATTGTAAGGTGTTTTTCCTTCAAAGAACACACTGGAAGCATATAATGAGTTTTAAAACTGATTGCTACATGTTCACAGGATCTCTGGACTGAGGACTGGTGACCTGTACATTTTGGTTTATCATATTTCATGTACTTAAGGGACAAATCATTTCCAATAGCCAAGCTGTCCTCCATGTAATTTAAGAATGAATTATTGATGAATATCAAAAAATGAAAACCTAAAACATCACACTAAAGTCACAGTTACTGAATTTTGGATCTAGGGAAATAGTGGTACTTCAGCCATTGATACAAATTTACTGGTATTTTTATTTAAAAATTAAAAGCGTGCAAGTCCTTTTTTGGAGGATTATCTGCGGTTTGTGCTTTCCTACATTAGCTGCTCATATTTGCATGGAAATACTCTCAGTGACTTAAAACACTTCTGGTATAATAAACCCTTTTCCCTTTCACATGACTGCACTGTTTCTCTTAACCATTTTATTTCTAGGACAGTTCAAGCTTAAGTATAGCTTTCTCTTTTGTAATAGCTAATGCTAGTTATTATTCTGGCTCTTCTCTTTATCCTGTGACTTCCAGAACAGAAGTCCCAATTTGTAGGAGCTTTTGCTCAAAAAAACTTAGTTTTCGCTACAGGGCATATAAAATTTTTCTAGGTGGTTACAGATTTTGTTTTAACTTCATTTTTGTACTTGGCTGTTCTTTGGAACATATTCTCAAACTTTGTCTTTCTTTTTTTGAGTCCTTTGCCCTTAACAAAACTTCTTGAGGATCCCAAGGGATTTTTAAACCCAAGAACAAGCAGACTTTCTGCTGGTACTTTTAAGTTGCATTGCCTCCAGTGAGTTTGCCTCTTTATAGTATTGGCATATACTCTAGTGAGGATAATTTGCCTTTGCATGTTCTTTTTCTTTCCCATTTATCATCTGCAGTCTCTGACTTTTAGGTATTTTAGATCTTGTCTTACCTGAGGATCCATAGTAAGTCATTCAGTATCATTACTTTTCCTTACTACCTTTTCATCATACTCAATAGAGTACGATGTGGTATGGTAGTGGGGTGCTCTTCATCATACTCCATTCAGTACCCCCCACTGCACCACAGCCCCCCAAAAGCAACCCTAAAGCATCTAATCTTTGTCTCTTCAACAGAGAGCTCATTTGCTTAAGATTGTAAAACTGACTGTTCAATCTGAGATTAGTCACTAAAATGAGATTAGTCAATTTTTGCTTTGTTTTACTGGAAAACATCTTATTCAACAACTCATTGCTACAGGAGCTAGTAGTCTTCAGATTTCATCAGTGCAGTCTGAGTTAGTTCATGCACTGGAAAACAGCTAGGGAACCTCTTCAGCACAACAGCTGCGTCTGAATCAGCTGCTATCAGGAACTGGGTACCAACAAAAAGGTAACCTCTGTTTGCAGTTGTAACGAGAAGCCCCACTGAAATCTCCTGCAGCCATTTTCCACAAACAAAAATTGCAAAATTTCTCTCCACTGGCACCTTTGGCTTGCCCTTTCATCCTCTCAGAGCTTTATAATAATTATTATTTTTTAATCCAATGGCATGATGGAGAGAGATCTATTTAAAGTGGTTGCACACATTTGGCTTTGTTCTGACTCTGGTTCCATCAGGCTGTTCACTACAGAAAGTTTGACAGCTTTACTCACTCTGTGTGAAAATGAGTGAAAAGCCCACTCCTGGGTGTTACAGAAAGGGGTAAAGAGGCAGAGCGTGTGTGCATCTGTCTAAATTTGTGGTGGAGAGTGGGGAGGAGGAAGAGTTAGAAATGAAAAAGATGCTTCTAACTTCATTTTAGATAATGTGAGAAAAAATCCTCGTGTGATCTACCTTTCCTGAATGGCTTTTTGTAGTACTGAACTGTGATGAATGTTGATGGATGGATCAGAATGTAGTTTCGGGAAGTACAGAGCAAAGGGTCCATAATGCGTGTTAAACTGCAAAAGCTAACAAATGGTTTCTTGTGTGTTTGCTGCCAGGACACAAGACTTCTGTTTCTTGCTTTAAATGGAAAAACAAACA